GAGAGAGAGAGAGAGAGAGAGAGAGAGAGAGAGAGAGAGAGAGAGAGAGAGAGAGAGAGGAGGTGAGACTCACAGATTGTTCTTGTATAAAATTCGCAATCATGTTAGTTCTGCGCAACAGAAGCAAAGCGACCAGACAGCTCGGCGTGCGTCTTGCGAGTAAGTCTTTGGCAAATCCGTTGATTCCCTTTCAATGAGCCTCTCTATCTGCCATCGCCTTACATCATCTTCTCACATTCTGCTCTCCTCCTCTCCCTCAGTCTCCCTCCCCTCTCCCCTTGGCCTCTGTTCAACAGGCTCGCCCGTGTCCCTCTACTGCATATAACTTTTCTGAGTTTGCTCAATGCTACAGTCAACAATCAAGTCCCCATACCACCTCCACCTCCACCTCCACCTCCAGCTCCACCTCCACCTCCACCTCCACCTCCACCTCCACCTCCCTCTCCATCTCCATCTCCCTCTCCCTCTCCCTTGTGTGGCAGGCATTCATCAATGCCTGACAAGGCTGACATTGCCTGTACGGCTTAATCGGCCTTATATAACCCCTTACGTCTCCTCCTCTTCTCTCGTCAGTTTGTCTGCGCTATAGCCTTTCTATCCTCCCCTCCCCTCTTCCCCCCTGTCTCCGCTCCCTCCTTTTCTGTCATACTTGTTTGACGTTAACGTTGAGCTTGCCTGATTCCCGGGGGTTTTCCTTGCCGCACTCCATACTACATCTCCGCTATTACTCCTTGACGTCAACGTTAAGCTTCCCTCTGTCTTTTCTGAACCTGCAGGACTTCAGTAACGTTAAGAACTTAATAGTACCGAGCCTTTTTTTTTTTTTTTTTTTTTTTGTTGAAAACCAGTCTGGCCGCTAGGGAGGGTGATACGAGAGCACCCCCCCCCTCCCCCCGTAGCGGTCATCCTCTTTCCTGGATGCTCCACTCTATCGGTGGGCAGCCGCACCTGCTGGAAACGAGGTCCAGCGTCCCATTTTCCATCAACCCACATCAACCGTCTGAGCCTCCATCGGAATATCCTTTTTAGAGAGTGTCAACCTTCCAGCATTGATTGCAAAAAAAAAAAAAAAAAAAAAAAAAAGAGTGCCGAGCTTTTCCTCTTCCTCGTGCCCCCTGTCTCCCTCGCTTTGACATTCTCCGAAAACAGAAAGAAAATGCTGCAGGCGTGCCTGAACGTTGGTTGATCTGTACTGAGTTTATGTCGGCGTAGTGATGTAGTTGCGCTATTATAGTATTACTACTACTGAGGTATACAGTACTACTACTACTGAGGTAGTATTAAGTACATTCCTACTACTACTACTGAGGTATACAGTACTACTACTACTGAGGTAGTATTAAGTACAGTACTACTACTACGTGAACTCATCATCAGGAGCCGGTGCTCCGGCGGCCCCTGATGATGGCCAGTGCTCTGGCGGCCGGGCCGAAACAGGTGTAGGGTGTTTCAGCCAGACGTCCTTCACGATTAAGACGCTCGGCGGGTCGTCTATGGCGCTTCGCGTCACTTTCATTTGCTCTTCATGGTATGTTTTCAACATGATGCGCTCGTGGGTTTCATCATCTTCTTTCTCGGTTTTGTGTATTGTCTTTCTTCTCTTCCGCTGATCTTGTGTCTTTCTTCTTCTTTCCACTCATTCAGGCAATAAGTGCTTGGCACTTACGAGTACTGTGTTGCATCACTGAGCTGTAATGAGTTTACGTACTACCTCTTCTAAGATCACGATCTCAGACGGGACGCTGGGCCCGGTTCCCACAACTTGCCAGCACGTGCTGCTCAAAAAAAAAGGATCACGATCACCATCTCCACCACCGCCTCTTCCTCCAGGTCCCTGCTCCTCCCTCATTTCTTGTTTTCATGGTTGTCATTGACATGAAGCTGCTGACTGTGGAATGTACCTTCCAATCGCTCACCATTCCTGCTCTTCCTCTTCCTGCATTCTTCTCCTCGTCCCTCATCCCCACCTCCTCCTCCTCCTCCTCCTCCTGCCACCTCCTGCCTCCTCCCCTTGCCTCCGATATCCCTCCCTTTCTCGTTTGTATGATAGTGATACTTATTTCCATCAAGATTCTGACTGTGGAATGTCCCTCCCAACCTCTCAACAGAGTCACCACTCCTGCTTCTCCACCACCTCCACCACCTCCTCCTCCTCCTCCTCGTCCATTCTCCCATGCTTTCTGGCAAAATCTGGCTCCCTGACGTCCTTAATTGCATGTTCTGTCCTGCAGTGATGCTGACATTCCTTCAGCGATTGCTGACTTTTGCAGGAAAGCTCCGTTTTGACTTTGCCGATCGCAGGCACTTGAGCTGAGGATCCGGTCAACGGATAGCAGAGAACGGTCAACGGTCAACGGTCAACGGTCAACGGTCAACGGTCCACGGTCGATCGTGGAGCGCATCATGGCCCGCAGTGGATCACTTGCGGGCTCGACAGCTATGGGGGGAAGGAGAAGCCATGGAGGTCAAGCGTACCTCCTTGTCTGTCTGGTCGGGGTCGGGCTACTCTTGCTGGCGATGGCAGAGATACGGCACGCGGCTGCATCCGATGGCGCTGGAAAAGGATTAGGAGTGGAATATAAAACCGAAAATGAAAAGAAATCCGGTGATGGTGAAAAATACTTCAAATATCCGGAAAAGGGGGACGAGAAAAAGGGGGAGGAGAAAAAGGGGGAGGAGAAGAAGGGGGAGGAGAAAAAGGGGGAGGAGAAAAAGGGGGGAGAGCAGCAAAAGGGGGAGGAGGAGAAGAAGGGGGAGGGGAAGGGGGTGTGCAATTACTTTCGTGGGGGACCAGAACCTTCGTACGAGAAGCAACCGAAGGAAGGAGAGATAGATTACTCTCTGTACGGTAAGGAAGGTCGAGCTTGTCTTCTGCGTGCTCTGCATGCCGCCACATTTGAAGTGCTCGACAGGGACAAGACCATGGCGGCCACGTTGCTGAGGATGTCCTTCCACGACTGCCTGACGCGCAGGGATTGGGCGAAGGGTGCATGCGATGCTTCCGTGCTCCTTCCTCGAGAGATCAACCACCCCCAGAACGAGAACCTCCGACGCGCTGCCCCGGTGATCTACGAGATCCGGGAGCGCGCAGCGCAACAGTGCAATGTGGTCCCCACCAAAGCCGACACCATCGCGGCCGCCGGTGCTGCTTCCATCGACTGGTCCGATCTGGAAAATCCGGAGAAGTACGGGTTCACAATCGGTCGTCGGGATCGGAACCCCGAGTCCAGGGGCGATAACCCGATGACGCTCCCGCTCGCGACCGAGACGCTGGACTCCAACCTGGCCAAGTTCTGGGCGTCGGGACACCTGGATGCCCACGACTCGACGCTCTTCACGATCGGAGGGCACAGCATCGGACGGTCAGCGTGCGAGCATTTCTCCTTCCGATTGAACAACCAAACGTGCTGCAGGCCCGTGGACCCGACGCTGGACCCTCGTCGCGCTTGCAAACTCACCCAATTCTGTCGGTCGGGCGATGGAGGCGAGCATCATGGTGATGATGGTGGCGCAGAAGGAGGGAGGAAAATGTCGGGCGATGGCGGCAAGACTCGCGGCGAGGAACACAAAGCAGAATCGGGCTATGGCGGCAAAACTCACGGCAAAGAACAGAGAAGAGTGCACTTCGACTTCATAACTCCTTTCAAACTGGACACCTGGTACTTCAAGATCACGCTGATGAACAAGGGATTGCTGACGACGGATCACGCATTCGGACACGACCCCAGAACCGCACCGTACGTGAAGTTCTACGCTCACAACCAGCAGGCCTTCGACGTAGACTACATCAAGGCCTTCATCAAAGTCAGCCTCGTCGGCATCAACCATCACAAGACCATCGTTCCAAACAACTACTTCTACTGCAAAACCGGTCACCAACAATCAGCTAAGGGGTTCCAGCATTAGATTGGTTCATTGATTGATTGATTGATTGATTAATCGATTGATTTATTGATTGATTGATTGATTGATTGATTGATTGATTGATTGACAGATGGACCGATCAATAGAATCATGGAAACTTTGCATGAGAAATTTTGAAGACCGAAATGAAAAGAAGTTCGTCTATGGGTTGATTACGTTATAGATAATGTGTCAGGGAGTGATGATTGCTCGATCAGATGAGTGATTACAGTGCTGATTCTCACAGATTTCGAAAGTGCTCGATTCCCGTTTGGTTGGGACGTCCGCGATAGGGACTTGCGCGTTATCATCATGGTTGTTGTCCCCTTCCGATTAAGAGTTCCTGAGTTTGCGCTTCGATCTGACAGGTGGTCTCACCTCCTTTTCCCAATCTGTCTTCTCTATCTCATCTTCTTTTCTCTCCAATCCTCCTCCTCCTCCTCCTAATCCTTTCGTCTCCCCTCTCTTCCTCCCTCTCTTTCCCTTCCCGGTTGCAGTCGCTTTGTTGCTGAGCTTGCTCATCTCCAGATGCTTCGGCCTGGCTCCTGGACAATCGGATTGGAATTTTGTCGAGTGCCACGTGTGCTTGCCCCTGTTATTCGAATCAAGCAAGTGCTCAAGTGACTAATGAAAAGAATTGATCGACTGATTGAAGTTCTCGATCGGTTCATTGATGTTTTCAATCGATTGATATTTTGTAGCATTTCCATCAATTGATTGAGCCTTTCCATTGACTGGTTCAGCTTTTAGATGAATGGATCGATTTACTAGTATGCTGAGCCTAGTGAGCCGCATCATAATCGGTCTGTGGAATAGACGGATGAGTCGGGATGACAAAATTATACCTGTGGTCATTCATCTCTTCATGATGAGTAATTTTAGAAAAGTTAGAAAAAAAAAAAAAGGTCTCATTCGATTGCGATGTCCGGTGATTGACGACGGCTGGGCAATAAGACAAAGACGGAGATCCCGTGAGGAAGGAAATCACAACCGTAAAAGCGGAATACTTCACTGTATTGTCGAAACAAACAGAAACCTACTGAAAGAAATTTCATGACAGAAAGGAGCTGCAAGAGCAACAATACTTCAACCTCGTGCATGGGTATGCTCATCCACATCTCTCTCTCTCTCTCTCTCTCTCTCTCTCTCTCTCTCTCTCTCTCTCTCTCTCTCTCTCTCTC